CCCGCCCCATACTTAATTTAGGGCCAGTCCGCCCCTGATCGCACGCAAGGGGTAAGAAGAGTTATAAACGCGTGTTTCTTGCTGAGACTGAGCGATAAAGCGGCAAAACTCGGTGCGCAACTCTTCGTCCTCTGAAGCCGCTCATATTATATTGCCGTCAAAATTATTGGAGGCCAACTCGACGCATTGAAAAGAATGTAATAGGGGGTGTTCCTTGCCGCATGCCGGGGTCGTGCAGAAGTTGAGTGATTGAAAAAAATTTCTGAAACATTTCTGTAACTATATTAGTTAAAAAAAATTTTATGTGAGGTCGGGTAACTGAGCGGAGGGTAACTGGGTCATACCCGCTGTATTTCAACCCTATTAGTGCTAAAATTGTTTTCACAGTTGGTATACCTTCATTATGACGTAAGCCATCTAGAACATGTAAACTAGAGACTAGAGTACCTATATTGCGAGAGAGTATGGCCACTGAGCCCCATTAAGAGGCTTAGGACCCAAAAATGGCAGTGCTTTGTTTTGGTTTTTGAGGATGGGAGGGGGATCATTGCCTACTTTTGACGGTTATCACTAGAGTACCTTTATAGACAGAGTATGGCCATTCGTATCTTTTTACTACAGGAAAACTGTTCCGCTTTTTGATTGGTCAACGAGTTTTTAGGCTTCATGATGCTCTTGGGGCCGTGAATAAACAAACAAAATGGCGGCTCACCTTAACATCGATAAGAAGCTAAATTTCACAAAAATCTCAATTATGCGGCAGTAACAATTTAAACTAGCATATCTACGAATAGCACACGAAAAATACAATTAAACATTGTTAAATCGCCTTTCACCTTTATCACAGGAGGATGTAAGATGTGCATAACCTCAATCTTGCTTGCTGATAACAGCCATCTTGTTTGTTTATGTACGGCCCTAGGAACATCGTGTCAGCCTATTTTCACACGCGACCAATGAAAAACCGGAACAGAAATGACCATACTCTGTCTATAAAAGTACTCGAGTTATCACCAACCGCACTTGCTGCCAACCTTACTACATCTAGGATAATATTTCTCAAAAATTGCACGCGATTAGCCCTAAAATATGTAAAGAAGTCGCAATAATGCATTTGGGTAAAGTCCTCGTTACGAAAAGCAAAGAAAACTACATTTTGAGTCATTTTGCATTACATTAATTTATGGCGTCCGCCATTTTTGGGTCCTAAGGGCTCCATTCAGCCTAAGATGGCTGAGCCAATCAGAGGTGGTAACACCAGTGGCTATACTCTCTCAATATAGGTACTCTAATGTTAACATAACCTCAGAAAAACTTTTTTCGGTGAAAGATAAGCATAGAGTACAATAGAGTCGCAATGTACTGGAGCGCCGATGAAGTCAATCCATTAACGGGCCTTTCCGAGCCGCTTCTGCTCCGAAAAGTGTGAACCCAACGGCATTTATCATCATGGTGGCTTATTGAGAAATCAAGAACTGCTCGTGTTTTTTCGACATTTTTAATTCAATCATCATTAATTTTTGCAAATTTTGTTATAAATTGATGGTCAAAGCCATAATAAATCCATTGATGTACGTTACTTCTGGATCTTATTCATGCAGGGATTTAATTTCTGACTTATACGAAGTGTGAACCAATTGGCATTTCTAACACGGTGGCTTATGGAGAAATCAACAACTGCTTGTTTTTTCGACTTTTATTAATTCCATCTGTATTAATTTGTGCGAATTTTGCTATAATTAGATATTCAAAGCCATTATGAATCCATGAATGTATGTTACTCCTGGATAATATTCATTTATGGACTCAATTTCTGACTTATTACCGGCCTACTCATCTGGTTCAATGTCTTTGCATTGAGTACATAGAGTCGTAATTTAAGTGGGAGAGCTGGCGCCATGTTCTGCTCGACGAGTTCCGAGCCCGGTGTGCGGGGTCACTTTTTCGATACATATTCGATCCAAAATGGCGGTGTAGAATATGGCCGGGTCCCCGTGTATCGCAAACAATCGATTATGTATCGAAAAAGGGACCCGGCGCCGCACAGGAATCTTGGAATTCGGAACCTGGAAAATGCTTAAAAGTGGCGCCAGCTCTCCCACTTGCATTACGACTCTATGTACTCTATGTGTCTTTGATGTGTGAGGACCTATAGTCTGTCCCAGATACGAAGAGCCCTGGAAAATCAGAATAATTTGCACTATGTAGAAGCAAGGTACCGTTCGTTCTATTGTGCCCGACTAATCACCGAGCCAACCCCGCACCGCACAGAGGGTTGCTTATGAGCTCCGCGGCGCGTCGGCGTCTGACGCCGGGAATCCGCTCCTGGGCCTCGGGGAAAACCACCGCGGAAAGATGCAAAGGGAGTATGCGTTGCCTCAAGGTGGCTTGCGACCCTCTGTGCGACGCATGTGAGAGGCGACGAGATGACAGGTGACGAGGGTCGAGGCACCCCAACCCGCCAAATAGTGCTAATTACTCTGATTTTCCAGGGCTCTTCGTATCTGGGACAGACTATAGCCCCAGGAACACCCTCAAATTCAAGATGGCTCCCAAAATGGCCGCCACGGGGGTGAAGTGGGTGAAAGTGACTCCTATGGTCGACATGTATGTCGATTCCTTTGTATTTTTGGTCGAACAGTTCAAATATGAGCTTAAAAATGTACTCCGATTACTGAAGGACCCTTAAATCCAAGATGGCGACCAAGTATCGCCACCTGAAAGTCAAACGGGCACGTGTGCTCCTATATGGCATGTGAGGTATCCTTCATGCAATTTTTTGGGCCGTAAAATCGGAAAATGATGTTAAAAATTCTTTTGCGCTTCATTCGAGGCCTCAAATTCCAAGATGGCGGCCAAAATTGCCGAAATTTTGGAACCATAAATTCTATAATAGCTTCTTATATCATGTGACGTATCGAACCCCGTACATTTCTGGGCGGAGATTCCAAATCTTGAATTCAAAATTCACCCCGCCCCCTTGGGAAGTCCAAAATCCAAGATGGCAGCCGAAATTATCCCTTACAGGATCATACAGTCAGCCTTGAACTTAGAATAGCAAGATATGTATCCATTTACGAATTTACATGAAGGTTACTTTAACCTTCATTTATGAATTCTACGACCAAATAAACCTGTAAATGGATACATATCTTGCATTTCTGAGGTCAAGGCTGACTGTATGATCCTGTAATAGATAATTTCGGCTGCCATCTTGGATTTTGGACTTCACAAGCGGCCGGGTTGAATGTTGAATTCAAGATTTGGATTCTACGCCCAGAAATCTATGGGTTTCGATACGTCACATGATATGAGAAGCTATTATAGAATTTATGGTTCCAAAATTTCGGCAATTTTGGCCGCCATCTTGGAATTTCAGGCCTCGAATGAAGCGCAAAGGAATTTTTAACATCATTTTTCGATTTTACGGCCCAAAAAACGGTATGAAGGATACCTCACATGCCATATAGGAGCACACGTGTCCGTTTGACTTTTTCGAGGCGAAATTTGGCCGCCATCTTGGATTTAAGGGTCTTTAAGAAGTCGGAGTACATTTTTAAGAACATCTTTGAACTTTCCGACCAAAAATACAAAGGAATCGACATACATGTCGACCATAGGAGTCGAATTCACCCACTTCATCCCCGTGGCGGCCATTTTTGGCGTCATCTTGATTTTAAGGGTGTTCCGGGGTAAATTGAGCCTGGCAACATTTAAATTCCGTTTCCGGACATCAAACCGAAGAGATCAAGCCATCTCGCCAACTTGTAACATTAACGGAACCACGGGACTACATTTGCTCCCGGACTTCCTAGGAACACCTTCAAATTCAAGATGGCTCCCAAAATGGCCGCCACGGGGGTGAAGTGGGTGAAAGTGACTCCTATGGTCGACATGAATGTCGATTCCTTTGTATTTTTGGCCGAAAAGTTCAAATATGTGCTTAGAAATGTACTTTGACTTCTAAAGGACCCTTAAATCCAAGATGGCGGCCAAATATCGCCTCCTGAAAGTCAAACGGGCACGTGTGCCGACGAACGGAGCCGCTAGTCGCCGCCCACTAGTCTCCAGAGAACTGGACAAAACAGCCTCCAAAAGGGACTTCAACGGCGATCCAGTACTTTGCGACTCAATTGTGCTCTATGATGATAACTGGTGAAGTGCCGAAACTTGAACAGCTTTTTTTTCAAAACAACGCTGGAGGTCTAGAGGTAGTCCAGGAGAGAGCGTCATATCTCACTCCAGGTAAATATTTAATTCAACTTTGACATTTCCTCTTCCTGTATGATGTATTTGTGTAATGTGTGAGTAAATACAACGTATTGGATGAAAACACCGGCTGCAAAGGGTTGATGTCTAGTTACCTTGGAAAAAAGCATTGATTTCTATCAAAGATAGATCGGTATTACCTATTTGATACCTAACCACTAAGTAGTTTTATTCGTAGGTACCTATATTATATAAGAAAAAATGTGCGTTCAATCATGCTAATTGTCTACCAGAAGTTCCCTGGTGAAAAATAGCGAGGGTGGCCTGATTTTCCGCGTGAGCACAACATAGGGATTTTCGGGGGGGGAGGGGGTGATCATAGGAGGGGGAGGGGCTCTTGAGGGCGCATAAGAGCAAGAGGGCACCGGGACATCTCGCAAATCGCATCTCATATCATCTCAATCAGTTACCATAAAATGTAGATCCTATCGATTTTAATACATAAAATTCTATTCTCCTATCTTAATACATGCTTAAAATGTTTTAAATGAAAAAAGAATTTGTATATTATTATAAAGTATTCCCAGCTCATTCCAAAATGTTTAAGGGAAATGCGCGTATTTCGTAGCATGGACACTAATACTTGTTCAAGGGAAACACTGCCGCTGTTTATGATAAAGGTGCATGTGCAAGCTATGTGAGAAATCGTTTGAATATTTAATTTAAGTCGTGGTAGATTCAAAATTATATTGTATTGTAATACGTTTTCAATAAATAAGGACGACAAAAAATATGTTAATTACTTTAGGTTTTTACTATTGAAATTTACAGAATTCACAAGGTATCAACAAATATTGACAAATGAAAAATTTACATTTTTACATGGCTCACTGATGACAATAACCAGGCGTCTGACAAGAGTGAGCGTTGGATGGCAAGTAAGTCTCATGATGGAGTACCGTCGACGGCTGAGGAAGCCTGAAATCGGCCAGCGAAATGAACTCATCACAGGAGTGAGGGGTTTGTACCATGAGATCATGCGTCGGCTGACCGTAACCCGTACGCGCAGGATACGTCGTCATCATCGTCGAATCCAGACTCGTCAGTTGCTCACTGGGATATTGGACAGAAGCATCCATCGTACAAGCAAAATTGAACTCTTCGGGAGCATCGCAAGACCTGTACTGATTCACGCATTGGTCCATCCTGTACGAATCGCAGCTCACGTACTGGAAAGGGATCTCCTCGGCGTTGAGCAGATGGAAATTCGTCCCGCTTTTCGGCGGCTGCGCGCCCGGCGAGAGGTGGTGCGTGCTCATCTCGCTCGAGTCGTCCACGTCGGTATCGGCCAAGTTGGTCATATAGCTGTGATTCGGCGAGAACTGCTTCATCTGGCTGCAGTTGCTGTCGTCGGTGTGGACGGAAGGGGTGGCCGCGGTGAGCCAGTACGGCTCGGCGTCCGGTTCCGACTTGAACGTCGTCCGATGGATGGTTCCGCTACCGAGGTCCAGCACCGTCGGCGAACATTTGTCTTCCTCTGGTGCTCCTCTGTAGCTCGCTCGCATTGGCTGCTCCAGTTGGAACAGCTCGTCTGCCGGGAATAAATCGTTACCGAAAGGCGGGAAATCGTAGGGAACAGTGTTGTTGTTGTTGTTGTTGTTGTTGTTGTTGTTGTTGTTGTTGTTGGTGTTGTTGTTGTTGTTGTTGTTATTGCTATTGTTGCTGCTGGTGTTGAGGTTGGTGGCGTTGCTCTCAGGCAAGTAGTTATTGGTGTCACTCTCGATGATTTGATTTGGAACCGGTTGAACGTTTTCTGACATCCAGTAGGTTTCCTGGTTTGACTGGTGCCAGTTGAAAGACTGGAATCGGCTTTGACACACGCATTCGAAAGGAGGACAAGAGCAGGAGTACACTGTGCAAAAAACAACAAACTTAGATTATTTTCCGATACAGTCGGGCAAAAAACTCTAAAATTGTGGCCAGCGAGCTCATCGTTGAAACTAGTAGACAAAAGTGACATAGGGAATATAGAGCTAACCTATATTGATTAAAATACTATGAGGTTTTTATAAATTAAGGTAGTGAATGATAGACTATCTATAGGGGCTCTCGAGAATTGCCATTAGTTAGTCTATTACCTACCTCATATGCCCATTGCAACCACCCACTTCCACCAGTAGGATCCTTCCTTATCTCTTTTGTCTTCTTTGTCTACAGCTTTGTCGATCAATTTCAACAATCAGCCCGCTGAATACCTTACGTGACAGGATGGTGGGATAGTGCTGAACTCGCACTATTTGAAAGGGAACTTCAAGTCAGGAATAACAAAACCTGGAGTACGAGTCACAAAATGAGTTCTATTGGATCTCCGGTTCCTCTTGTCTGATGAAAGTCCCACTGGTGTTCCTGGGTCCTTGTTTGCGTTGAAAATCCTTTTTAATTATGCTCTTCGCAATGATGACGGCCCCTCTTCTCGTGGCACGTCTAATTATTTACAAATCATCGCGTCGTTAAATTTCTCTCGATGTGACGACCACCATTTACAATGAAAATTTTGTAAAGAAGAACAGGGGTGGTCATCCTTCCTTCAGAGATAGACCCGATTCCATATAAGGCGTAATTTTATAACTTTACGACTTATACTCTTACATGGAATCAAGTCTTATCACTGGAGGCAGGATGACCACCCCTGTTCTTCCTTACAAAGTTTCCATTGTAAATGGTGGTCGTCACAAGTGGTGCCAACCCGTCTTTTAAACCGGCAAACCGGCAATTTTTTAATTTTTCATTAAATAGTTTCGCATCCTCACAAGTGGTCCAAAATCTCAAACTTCTTTTTTGTTGAGAACCTTTAATTTCATTTTATTATGCATTCACTTAATTTTTCACCTTGTTTTTTGATTTAAATATGATCTGAGAGAAATTTGTAAATTTTTAAAGGCGTTCAAAATTTTTCTTGAATTAGAATTTCATCCTTAATTTTTTTACTTTTTAACTTGTTGACTTGTTACTAATCATATACTTTGTGCTAGTGCCATTGTGTCAGTGATTCAGTGTCCTTACAGGATTTTCTTTTTCTTTTTTTTGAGTGTTTAAATTTTTTTTTTATTATTATTAAATTTGAATCCACTGCAGTTTGTGCGTATTGCTGTGTCTCTGGGCAGCCATTGCAACACCCACGAGGTGCAGTCTAAAAAAATTTTTTTTTTTTTTACTAAATTTCATATGCATCGATTTTTTTTATTGTTGTGTGCTCATGATTTTGTGTGAATATTTTCTAAGAATTTTTTGTATATTGTTAATGAGTTCCGATTCAAAAAATGAGAATTTTGGAGAATTTTTAAGTTCTCCTCAAACTTCAACTATTTCTCATAACAGAAATCCTAGTGATAACTCAGATTTTCCTTTAACTCACTTACCAAAACTCACTCGTAAAATCTCGAATGTAATTTTAATTCACCTTTTCTAAGTACTCAACCTGTAAATTCAACTGTAAAACCGGAAATTCTCACGGCGGAAGCTACAAAAGAAATTTTGCATTCGGAAACAATTGTTTTAACTTCAGATTTTGAAGATTCAGACCTTTTAGATTCATTGTCTATAGACGAAATCATGGCCACACAAGCACTTCTTTGAATGAAAATACCGATTATTGGGTTTCAAAAATTTAGTAGTACATCCTCATAACCCACCAAAAAAGTCTCGCAAAGTTAATGTTAATGTTTACTATATAATTCGACGTTCTGTTATGAGCCAGCAATTAATTGATGAATCAAAAATGATTCATTTAACTCCTTGCTTTTTGCAGGAAAATGTAATTTATGGAAAAAACCTGTCCCATAATTTTGTTAGTATTCTTAGAAATACAGTTTGGGATTTTTGAAGGAAATTTTCATAATGCAGTGCACAGCAGAAAATTGAATTCCGTACAGATCCCATAATTAGAGTGAGCGCTCCAATTTTAATAATTCCTCTAGGATTTACACTAGTAATTCACTGAGTGAGAATAGTGTTAAATTGCATAAATTAAAAGAGGCAGATGATTTAAAGCGAAAGTAATTCACTGAGTGAGAATTTCGCAATAAATCTTAATAATTCATACAGGGTTTCAGGTAATTCACTGAGTGAGAACTGTCCCGTAATGCATAATAATCCCATGAGTTCAGGTAATTCACTGAGTGAGAACTGCTCTAAGGATTACATTAAAATTAACTCCAGTAAAACAAGTAATTCACTGAGTGAGAATAGTATGGAGAATTATAAGATACCATCAGGTAATTCACTGAGTGAGAACGTAGGTATTCTTTTTTATAATGGCGGTAAATCAAGTAATTCACTGAGTGAGAATTGTACGCCACAAGGGACTTTTATAAAAGGTTTTAATTAAATTCCATAAAGGCTTTTAATGCCATTGAATTAGATTCAGCTGCTTGAGTACAGACTGATTTCCAGAAATTAGTAGACACCCTAATTGGTGATATCTTTTGTAAGAATAAGGACCAATTTTTCAATGAAAATTTTAACTTCATACGTTCAAATAAATTTATTTCTTTAAATTCAAGATTCTCAGTGCCTGAAACTATTGTTTGTAATGTTTCTAGGACAAACTTTTATAATTCAGATATTAAATTGAATACTGATGCAATTTTGGATCCTGCTATCCATAATATTGCTCGAGAAATATTGTGCGATGCCAAATCTGTTTTTTCCTCTGTCTGATGAAGCTAAAATTGTTGAATAAAAATGAAAGCCTATAACTATTCAAGTAAATTCGGAAGTTCCCATCAATTGTTCTCACTATTCTTTTCCAAATATCTATAGAAAACATCTGCGTAGCATAGTGAATAATTTGAAACACGCTTCGATAATTAATGACAGTTTCAGTGCCTATGCATCTCCAGCCTTTTTAGTTACAAAGGGAGACGCAAATAAAAAAATCGTCAACTCAGTTAACCGATAAAATAGGAGAATTGTAGTATTTTTCAGAAAACTTAATAAAAATTATCCCAAATCGATTCCTCTTACCAAGGATCGATAACATTATTTCTGAATTACAAGGGAATACTTACTTTTCTACTGTCGACTTTCTTGGCGGATATTATCAGCAACTTTTAAGCAGGCGCTAGAGACGCTATTGTGCTTTTACGTGTCTATTCGGTTTCTTTTAGAAATTCACCCAGTACTTTCAACAAAGCTTTACAGAGAATATTTTCAGATTTGTTTTATCATGGATTCCTCATTTGCATCAATGACTTACTTATTTATTCAAAAATTATTTGAAATTATTTAAGTTTTTATAATGAACGAATGAAATAATTTAATCTTCGTTTCAAGACTGAAAAATGTCATGAAATGTTCAAAAACCTCAATTTTCTTGGTTATTTAATTGATGAAAAAGGCTTAGCTCCTTTACAGTCAAATTTAGACGCTATTTTAAAGCATAAAACTCCAAAATGTTAAAAAGACGTTCGTTCTTTACTGGGTAGTGCTTTTTTTTACTTTTTTTAACGGTCCTTTATTCATAAATTTTTTTTTGTTTTAATTTTTCTAATATTGCTGCGCCTCTGATAGAGCTTACGAATAAGAAATATGATAAATATAACTTTGTTTAGACAAAGCCAATGAAGCTTTCGAAACTTTAAAACGGTTAGTCGTTTACCCTCCTGTTTTAATAAATTTCTTTGATGAATTAAAAATCTATTTTTTGGTAGATACATCAAAATTCAGCACAGGAGACATTTTGAATCATATAGATCATGATGAAAAATTTCATTCTTAAACATTTCTTTTTCTTTAGTAAAAATCTCTCCCCCTACCCTCTTGGTCTGCAACATTTCTAGAATTACAAGGAGTTTTAGAGTTGGTCGAGCATTTTGACAATTTCTCGACCCATTAAGAAATTCATTGATCATAAATTTATTTTCTTGTCTAATCATTTCAGTTTGGAATATTTTAGAGATTTCAAAAATGAGAAAAGTCGTTTAAATAAATTGACGAAAAGATTGGTTCCATTTGATTTGATTTATCAAATGTAAGACTTCTACAAGTAATGAGATGAAGGCAATTGATGATCTTCCGAGACTTCGCTATTTTCAACTTGAAAATGATTAGTAATCCTGATAAAGACATTTTTAAACTGTCAAAGACTCTAAATAACATTAAATTAATGAATTTAGGCTTCCAGCAAAGAAAATGCCCTGAGATAAAGGAGTTACATATTACTCTAACGGATGATAACGCTATGGTCTCGCAGGCAATAATGTACTTTATAGCTTATCATAATCAGAAATGGTTATTGCTACCCTATTTGCCATCCACTTTACGTAATCGATATTGCGCTTCCTTTTTCAAACTTTATGCTATCACATTTTTGGTATATTATAGCTTTTGATTGTTCTTGCTGCAATAATATTTTTCTTAGCAAACTTATACTTTTTTGATAAATTTTTAAATTTTTGTTTCTTTTTAGAAGAATTTTAGCTTCACGCGGACTTGCTTTTGTTTATTTTTTATTTTTTTTTATATAGCAAGGGTCGTGAGAACACGACGCTAAAATTTTCAACATAATCAAATTTTTCTTATTTTCGTTTAGCAAATAATTCGCCTTCCCTTTTTGAATCGGCAACTTTGTTGCGTTCCACCGTATTGTGATGACTCTTGAGGGTTTTGTGAGTCGGGGACCCTGCCTCTGGGCTAGTCGTTCACCCAACGAAAAAGAATAGACGTATTGTTTGGATTTGGAAGGTACTTTCTCAGAGTGAGGACTGCGGTGTCTTCTAGATTTCTCTACCTGAGTCACATCTATCGTTTGGTTCCCTCGCTTTTTAGGCGTTGTAAAGTTTTGTAACTGTTACTGAAGCAATTAAGATGAGCATCTTTTTCAGAAAACAGCGCAAAGTATTGTTACGGTGAAAACCTTTAAGGTGATCGAGTTATTTGTTCAAACTAAGTGAATCTGTTCACTATTTTTGTGAAGAGGGATAGTAAAGGCATCCCCTGGAGAACAGACGCAATTGCATATCAACATGGCACCCGATTTCAAGGGACAGCGAGACCGACTGCATGTGTGATCTTCCACGCAAAAATAATGTCAATGGTGAAACTTTAAGCCTCAGTAATTCGCAATTTAAAAATAAAAATATCTATGACCTCGTCTTTTACACGCATACACAGATTTATTTTTAAATTGTTAACATGTCTTGCAAATCCAGCGACCATTTTACTTTCTCCCAATAAATTTTTCTTCCCAAAATTTCTCATATTTCTCAAAAATATTTCTCTAACTTTTTCCTCTTTACGTTAAATTGGTATCATAATTCATTTGACACTTTGTATTTTGCCTAGCTTAAGGAATTGATGTAAACTTGTGACTTTTTACTCTTTTTATCCTGTATTAACGATGTTTATCCTCTGTGATAAAGCATCGCGATGCCTTTGCTTTTTTTCAGATCAGAGCATTTCCTTGCTTTTGATAGGTCCGTCGTGGATCAACGACCCCGGCAGTAATTCCAGAGGCTACACGGACGCTAGGGTCAATCCAGGGCGTTGTACCCGCGGCTGGCCTACCCGGAGCATTTTCCGGAGGGCTCGGATTGGTAAAAAAAAGTAAAGTAAAGCATAACAAGTAATTCCGAAATTTTGGTACGGCTTTTTTCTGTTCAAATCTCTTGTATCAACGATGCCCCGTTCCCGGAGTGCGAAAGGATGAAATAAAAATCGAAGCGATTTTCTCAATGAGCATGTCATTTTTCTTTTTGTCAAAAGTAAGAGTAAAATGTTTTGTAATTTTCTTTTTCTCACCTTTCCGAAACGTCTGCTATGAAATTTTTCATTTGTTATTTTTTGTTCCAGTTCCAGTTTTTAATTTGAAATTCACCTTTATAATTCCTTTTTATTTTTTTTTTTTTTGGCGTTGCAGCTTTCTTTAAAATATGTGCTTTTCTTTATCTCCTCTTCAATTTGATTTCAATTGTTTTTCATGGCCTTCACCCTAACTCACCATACCCTTCTTTTTCATTGTTTGTAGTAATCTTTTCTTTTATTAGGACGACGTGGGCGCCGTCTTTTTCAGTAAGGGTGAGATGAGATAACGAGATAAGAGTCTCACTCTTTATCTTAATTACCTTTTAACTACATTCATTTTTTGTCTCTTGTAATAATGACTTTTTGATAAACTTCAAAAAACTCTAACCCCGTTTTTTCTCGAAGACGCTTCTGTCATTCTGGTCGAGAGCCTCGGCTCGACCACAACTCTTTTGCCTTCTTGGTTCCTCCGCTCCTCTTGACTGGCATTGGATTTCGGATATCGTGTGAATTCTCTATTGGGACTTTGGAATTGGACAACACCCAGTTTGCCAATGCGGTGAATTATCAAATAACCTTTTTTATTTTTGAATTTTATTTCATATTGAGACAGAATATTCAAAATATTACTTATTTGAAATTATTAATTTTCCCTCTGAAAATTTAATGAATTTTTACATCCACTTCCTAGAAAACATTAATTCTCTTTTCATAAATTGTAAAAACGCCATTCTCTTCTTGCCTCTTGTTTTTATTCACTTGTTAGATTCAAATTCCTCAGATTAAAACGCATGAATGCTAACTCTTAATTTATCAGTTTTCTAATTACGCTCTTCCACTGCATTTCAGCAGGTATAATTGTCCAAATACTTGGATTTTCACTTTAAGGGTGAATTTCAGAGTATTTCGTCAATTATATCTCACAACCGCTCCTCCAGTGATAAGACTTGATTCCATGTAAAGCGTCCAGCCCACATACAAACTAGAGGCTTCAAAGAGACTCATCGATTGCCCCGACTTAAACCGCTGGCCAATGAGAGGGCCAGGAAAGGCATCGATGAGTCTCTTTGAAGCCTCTAGTTTGTACGTGGGCTGGACGCTTAAGAGTATAAGTCGTAAAAATGTAAAATTACGCCTTATATGGAATCGGATCTATCTCCGTAGGAAGGATGATCACCCCTGTTCTTCTTTACAAAATTTCCATTGTAAATGGTGGTTGTCACAACGAAAGAACCTAACTAATTTCAAGATTGCCAAATTTCCCCCGCAAATTGAATTTTTACCAGTAGAATCTTGGGAATTTCTACCTGAAATTTCACTGATTTTTCCTCTGATATCATGCAAAAATTAATGAAATTGCTCACACTGTACATTCTTGTAAAAAATTGAATCGATGTTGCATACTTAAAAATCCGACGCCCCGCGCCAGTTTTTTTTTTTTGGGGGGGGGGGCATTCA